AGGTTATCGCTCTTAGGTTGGAGGCCATCGCTCTTAGGTTGGAGGCCGTCGCTCTTAGGTTGGAGGCCAGGCCATCGCGCTCAGGTTGGAGGCCATCGCGCTTAGGTTAGAGGCCATCGCTCTTGGGTTCAAGGCCGTTCCTCTTCGGTTGGAGTGGTTGGAGGCCAGGCCATCGCTCTTAGACTTCCGGCCTGGACGGGCCAAACACGTCCTGCCTTCGTTCCTCGCTCCAAAATGCTCGGATAAGTCAGGGATTGACCTGAGTGAAGCCGAGGAATGGCTTCCCCAAACTTACATAATTTCAGATGACGTCACCCTGCCTTTGAAAAGACACGCTTTGGCAGATGTGGTATGCTTAGTAGGTTCATGTCCAAAGGTTCCCAGGGTCCGCGTGACAGCTGACCACGGACACATACGGACACCTCATTGTCATTGGTTGCGACTGCTTTATATATGGTTTTGGGCGTCCGACTGGCACCGAGACCATGCATGTTCAATTACGTGGAGTGCCTCTAAGTGTTGACTCGGGAAAGATTGCGTATAACTATTCCCTACCGCACTTGGCACGCACAGATGCTCTGAAGATCATGAGAGAGGTAGAGGTCAGAGAGCTAGAGATCACCTCGGTCGCTTCTGCTTTGGAGGCTCCAGGAACGACGTGCCGCCTCCGTCGTCCCCCAGACGAGAGCCGCGTCCGTGACGCCCATGGAAAGCGCCGATGAGAAGTTCATCACATGGAAGTTCCTGACGCGAGCGTCGAAGCCGCTGCATGGTCAGGAGAGGTGTCGAACTCACTCACTCTCCAAATGCGCCGGGGGGGTGGATTTGGCCGAGGATGAACAGGTTGATCCTTTTTTTCATATCATTTTTGGGTTAATGATTCTTCAATCAAATCATATCAGACAATTCTCATGATATCGTCACATTGTCTCTTCGATTCTTGTCATTTTCACCTTCCCATCCAATTCCCCCTTTTCGATCGGAGCTACGGACGTGAAGGGGTGTGCACGGTGTGTCCCACAGGGAGGTGTGGAGGCTCCAAGGAGTTCGCATGTTTCTCCCGGCTCTGTTTCACCAGAATTCGCGCGTCGTGAACTGAAGTTCTTAGTTTTTCAGAAAGAGAACTTTTTCTTGGAATTCTTGGCATTGACATGATTTTGTCCCCAGATAGTGAAGCTATGGGGTTCTTACTTCAAATAACAATGAGTTGCCCGTGAGCGCTTTCGAGACAGGTTGCTGGTGCTGGTGCCGGGTGCCGGTGCTGGTGCTGTGTGAGCTGGCTGTGCACGCTGGTGCTGTGAGCTGGCTGCGCGCGTGGTAGAGACAGGTTGCTGGTGCTGGGCGCCGGGTGCCGGTGCTGGTGCTGGTGGTGCCGCGTGCTGGCGCTGGTGCTGGTGCTGTGAGCTGGCTGCCACTTCTTAGAGGCCAGTGAGCTGGCTATATCCGCTTCTGGGAGGCCTGCAGTTATCTATGTCCATTTTTCAGAGGCCAGTGCATGTGGTGGAGATAGGTTGCTGGTGCTGGTGCTGGGTGGCGGGACAGGTTGATGGTGCTGGTGCCGGGTGGCGGTGGTGGTGCTGGGCGGGTGCTGGTGCTGTTGTGTACGTGGTGGAAACAGGTTGCTGGTGCTGGGTCATGTGGTGGAGACAGGTGCTGGTGCTGGTGCTGGGTGCTGGGTGCCGGTGCTGGCGCTGGTGAGCTGGCTGTGCACGTGGCGGAGACAGGTTGCTGGTGCTGGTGCCGGGTGCCGGTGCTGGTGCTGTGAGCTGGCTGTGCACAAGGTGGAGGCAGATTGGGTGCTGGTGCCGGGTGCTGGCGCTGGCTGTGCGCGTAGTGGAGATACGCCACGCTGTATTGCGTGTAAAAATTGGAGCTGCTGGGTGCAGCCCAGAAAAATCTTTTGTATGCTTTTGCTATCTGGGGTCTATGCTGGAGTAATTTTACGTTTTTTACTTTTCAATCTTTTTCACTCTTTCCTCCTTGTAATGAAAACGCCTCTCTTGAAGACCATTGGAATTCGAGGACCGTCCGTGTCACATAGGGCGACCACGAGTAGAAAAGCCGCCAGGATTGCGTGCAATCCGCCCGCACCCACAAAGCACGCTTCCAGTTCTTCCACTCCGCGGTGGAGAAGGACCACGCGAAAAAGGGGTTCAAGGGTCAGACGCTAAAGCCCTGGGAACATGAAGAGACGGGTTTCTGAAGGTGTGACTTTGGACATATTGGTGAAAAAAACATGGAACGTTTCCTTCAAAACAAACGAAGCAGGACACTTGATCCAAGACCAGCCACACAAGGGGACAATAGACATGCCTCTGGGAAGGCTCTTGTAGTGAACATGAGGCTTGGATTCTTTCGAATTTAAATCTGTTGAAATGGAACGCCTTCGCCCTGCTTCCCACATACGCACACACCCTTTCCCCTGTCTCCCAGTTGGCTTTTGAGGATCCTGATGGCTTTGAAGAGTTCATCCAGCACCTGCGGAAGAGGGAGGACAGCTTCGCAGTCACCGGTCACGGCCGCAGCGAGGCGTTCGAGCGGCGCGTTCTCCGCCAGGACCGCCGCTCGACCAACAAGGCCGTTGAGGTGTCGGCGGGGCGAGGGGTTGGCGTCGCAGAGAGAGATGGACCAAACAGGCTTGGCCATTGCTGGCCGCTTCGTCACCTGGGCGCCCACCTCTAGGGACCGAGGACGTGACGAAGTGTTCCGTAGTTTGACGAAGGGTTTGGTGTGGTGGACCCAGTTAGGGGATTTGGCTTCTTAGTCTGATGTGTGTGGAGGGGTTCTTGACGGAGCACGTGAGAAAATCACGTGGCAGAAGCAGGTTTCTCCGGTACTCGTCTGTTTTCGCTTCCACAAGAACCCAGAGGATTCCAGACGAACACTGTTCTTGCCCTTTCATCTCATCGCGACCCCGTGCCACACCGACAGGAGTGTGGAGGTTCGATGGGACGACAGTGCACTGGTCACGCCGAACGCTGCGTGATCCGAGCGGTGCAGACCACTGCTGTGAGTCTGTGAGCTCGGGCCATGGGAGTTGATGTCACCTCACTTTCCCATGGCGGCCATCATGGCGGCCGATTGGTCCATCTTTTCATATGGGAGTTGATTGAACTCTTTTTAGGTGCGTGTTACATCGAACTCTTTTCCGCGAAGAATGACAATTGATGATATATGATCAACGACCATATCTTTTCCCAAGGCTTGAAGTTTTGACAGAACCAGAGTTTGCAGCCTGGAGTACAGCTGGAAGAGTTTGAAGTTGTTTGAAGTGTTTCGTTGGACCAACACATCCAGTACAGTACGTACTGACATTTTTGGCAAACTCTGGATCTTCCTGGGGTTCTTTTCCCTTTCCAATTTCACATGCCCGGGTGCTCAGCGGGATAGCTGACCAGGCTAGGCTATTGTGAATTCTGCCACGTTTGAACACAGGCTATTGTGATTCGACCACAGACTAGGATGGCTCTTTCGATGGGTAAGGAGGAAGCGCACAGCTTTCCAGCTGAGTGCTTCATCATTGATTACCCTCGATTCCGGATGCTGCCACGAGGTACCAACGATGCAAGCAAGCGGCCGTTCGTTCTTCGCCGTTCGTGATGTGGAATGCCTTACAGAAGGCTCCGACTAGCATGGATGCTGCTGTCAACGTTCGCCTTGACTGCCTTTTTAAGCGCAGTGCTGTGTTAGTCGTGTTCCGGTTCTGTGGCTTGGGGCTGCCGGTGTTCGATTTTTGGCGCAAGACGCCTCGCCTCCTTGGACTGCTTGTGTCCGGCTTGGACTCCAGTCCGGGGGGTGCGGGGCATCCGCCGCGCACCTTAGGCCCACATCGTTTGGAGTTTCGACCTGCTTAGATGGTGTTTAGACCTGGCCGTGGTGTATCATCGATCGACATCATCTTCAAACCTTGGGGGTTTCTTCCAAAAAGAGATGCACTCTCTTTGGATGTTTTCGTGTGAGTTCTTTCTTCACCTGAGAGCTCTCCACCTGATACAACCACGGCATCGGTGGCCGAATCGGTCTTACCCGATTCACTGAACCGAACGGACGCTGCGGACGCTGCGGACGGGGGATCCATTGGCGAAAAGAAGAGGTGCTCCACAGACGTGCTGTGTTTCCATTGGGGCCGGTGTGGAGAGCACCCGGGGGCAGGTGTGTGCGACCGTGTTCTTGTTGTCTTCGGCTGTGTGCGGTCGTGGTGTTTTTGAGGAAGAGGGGCGGTGGGTACCCGTCCAGATTCGCCTGGCTTCAGTATCTCCCTCTTGACCAAGGGACCGGACCACCTGTCAACCACAGACCACTCCGGTCCACGATGTGCGGTGATCGATCCATGGCATTTTGATCAACGTGACCACCGTAGTTGAGTAGAGTGTAGGGATGAGTAGGGTCTTATGCTCATAAACCGATCCTCCTTCCAGAATATGTCACCAATATGGGGACCTTCTTCCGAACCTGCATATTGATTGGGCAGGCGCACCAGAAGCCAACCGAATTAGAGGTGGGAAACTCAGAGAAACTCGGAGTGTTGCTGCCTAGAAAAGGCCAGCATTCAGATGTGAAAAACATTGAAACCTAGCAACAAGGACGCTACACACGGTGGAGGCCATCGCTATTGGGTTGGAGGCCATCACAACTAGGGTGGAGGCCATCGCTACTATAGTCTCAAGGCCATCACATCCATTTTTGGAGGCCATCGCTATAGTGGTAGGGTCCCGATTCACGGATCCGTGGAGCGTGGAACATTCGACTCCGTTACCTTTGTGTTCGGCAAAATTCATCCCATGTTCCTGACCCTTTCAGATCTTTTTCAGATCATGTCATTATTTTTGGTCACGAGCAGCTGCTTCCATCACCCTGACAGTCCATGCGCTTTCTCTGCCCCGCGCCATATGAACCTGGTTGCTTTCACCTCTTTTCCTTCGGATGTTTCCGGCTTCTCGGACGTTTCTGCTCTCGGTGCGGACTTCTCCGGAAGGGCGAAGCGGGTTGGTACGAGGTTTGGCTCACGGCCATGGTCTACCTCCCTTGGATCTACTTCTGCTGGAGGTGTGACGACGTGAAGACCGGCAGGTCGTTGTGCTCGGCTCGGTGTCGGGTCACGCGGGGGGTTCGGTCGAGGTCGAAGTCGTCGCAAGAGCGCGGCGTTCTCCGCGACGGCGCCGCGGAGGGATTCCGAACAGCTCGAGAACCACTACGCGGTGACCTTCTATGCCTCCTGTGGCAGGGGAGCTGAGAAAGGGTGCCGATGTCAGGGTAGGCTCCGAACGAGAAGATCGGAGTGATGGCCCAAAGGATCGTTGAACATCAAGACTCTTTTCTTCCTTCTTGAAGTCTTCCAAGGACGTGAATGAACATTGAAATCGAAATCGATCAATTTCTTCACCAGGTTGGGCGGTGATGTCTTTGTCCTCTCTCTTTTCGGTGCTCTATCAAGACAAGGCGTGGGGCAGTCGTGGGCGAACCAACTACCGATGACCGAAACCTGCAACAGGGCCTGAAACCGCCTGTAAAGGAGACCTGATTCGATGTTCGGTGCTGGTAGATAGAGTCTATCTGATTCGATGTCTTTCTTTTTCGCTGAAATCGACTTCCTTCCGCGTTTGGAATGGATGTTTTGTTCCATGTCTGTCTTGGGAGCCTAGCAGTGCCAGTCACACATGTCCGTGAAACGCCTCCGCTCTCGTTTCCGATGCGTTGTGGGGACGAAGATGCCACTCCGGTGCCATCTTGAGGTCATCTGTGGGTAAGTGAGAGATCCAACTTCCTGGAATGGTCCCACCGTCGCACCGTGGTTTCTGAGAGGCAACGGTGTCTTTTTCTTGTTTTTTTCATTTTTCGGAGTGGTTGAATCGGATTTTGCGACATCAGAGGACTCCTTGAGTGTCCGATGAAGATGATGAAGTAACATGACCTGCTTCAATTCCACCATTTGGATCCATTTGGGGTGACTTCAACAAGAATTGCAATTCGCCGATCTATCTCTGTTTGTAGCTTCCCCACAGTGAAGCTCTACGTCGACGTGCCCAGTACCCGGACTTCGCCTTTGGCGTCCTGCTGTTTGGGAATGCGATCTTTGCAGTGCCCTTTGGCCGATGTTGGAGCGATGTTGGGGCAGGTCGGGCCGTTGGTGACCCGTTGATGCCGGAGCAGCAAGAGTGATGTCCTTCTCAATCTTCATCCGATTTCGGATCCGAAAATGAGGGACGTAAGTACTTAAGAACATAGTTAAACCTGCAAGTATCCTTATTTGTTTCCTACTTTTGGGATGGCCTGTATGAGTGCTCAATGAGTGCTCACCTTTTTGTTCATGCCACTCTTCGTTCTGGCATGGCAACGAGCCTTCCTCAGCGGACTTCAAGGAGAGGTGATATATAAGGGCCATTTCCGGGAAGCAATCCGTGCAGGTGGTCTCTTGGTCTTAACAGAGGCACAGACTCTCTCGTGATGCCTCCTAGAAGTGCCACGACATGGCTCCTAGAAGGAGCAGACGAAGCGACATCGCAGGGGCGAAATCGCCTAGATGGGCGGAACTTTCATCAACGAATCGAACGATTTGTTCTTTCGTGGGATTGCCATGTTGATGTGTTTTGTGCCTCTTAAGAAGGCCCTAAAGGCCCCCTCCCCTTCTTCTGCGCCGACTGCGCAGACAGAAACCGGACCTCAGACCGTCTCAAACAGAGGCCGCGGTGGGAAACTCCTCCCCCGCGGTGAGAGAAGTCCGATCGTCGCTTCATCCGGTCCGGTTGGTGATCCTGTTCGGTGGACCCTTCACCGGGTTTCAGTGTGGTCACTGGGGTCACTCAGCGTGGATGTAATGAAGGCTCCTTAACTTGGGGGGTTGTGGGGTCACTCAACGTCGATGTCAGTCATCGTTTTGCAGCATTGAAGCTGCTTGGTGGTGGACACGAAGCAGAGAGAGTTAGGTGAGCGATGACCATTTTCCTCACGGCTCCTTAATCTTTCCATGCAGCAAAACTTTGGGAACAGAGATTCCCACCATCAACCTCTAGGTGAAACAAGCCGAACTAGTTGTATGGCAAAGCAGCATGCAAGTTTCCCCTGGTGTTCCATCATCTCCGAGGGCGTGCCTCTACTTCTATAGCTACCATTGGACTCGCATGTGGCGGCATTTTACAGTGTGGCCCTCAGATCGCAGGATGTTGCAGACGGAGACGTTGATTGCCATAGCGACCTGCAGCTGCCAGACTCCTGCTGTTGTTGGACGTTTCTTCGCTCTCGCAAGCAGACCCCGCCCAGAAAGCACTGAACATAGTCGGCCGGATATGCAAATCTGATGCCTAAGCTGTCCACACTTGACGAGCTGAGCAGTCACAGCGTGTCCTATTTGGATTTGTATTCTTTCAGTTTGGGGCTCAGCTCAGCAGACTATATTAGAATATTAGGACCTTTTTTCCTTTTCCTTTGTTTGTTTCTAACTGAGGGGTCTCTGCTATTCTGTCCAATATCACACCCATTTCTACTTTCCCCGCAGAATCACTTCTTCACTTCTCCGTCGACGCGACGCGTTCGCCCAGCAAAACCGCTTCCGGCCCTTGTGGATTCCCGGCTTGCTGGGCTTGATGCCGGGATGCCCAAAACGTCGAGGCAGGCATCGCAGTTCTTTCGTGGGCGGACACATTGATGACATAAATATTAGCAAAGGGTATCGCTACGAACGGAGCAAAGGGCATCGCTACTAGGAGCAAGGACGCTACGAACGGGGATCCTGGCCATACTAGGAACAAGAAGCTAGTAGAAACAATAAATAAAAGGAATGTATTTAAAATTAGGGTTGGGATTTGGCATGGCTCTTTCGAAAGATTGGGAAAACCAGCAACATCGGCTTTTTCGGTCGGTTCTGGTAGCTCCCAATCCACTGGTTTGAACCCCAGGTTTGTGCACACCCCTCAGGTGAGTTTAGCAGAGTGTTTGAGAAGACGAAAAACAAAACGATACCCCCCCAATCTATTGCTGAGCGATCGGTGATTGGTTGGGTGTGTCTGGGAGTTCCGTTGAGGGAATCCGTTGCATCATGTTGCATCAGCTGATCCAACGGGCCCGGCTCAACGCTGAGGATCGTTGGATCGTTGGATCATCGGAAGGACGGCCACCTGGCCGGTTGGCCGTCGCCTTCGCCCCTATAGTGCCCTAGGTGTCTCCATTTGCTGACTCCTCTGGATCTGATGAAACGCTTGGATGACCCGGTGGGGGAAGCTCAGAGGGTCAAGGGTTGGGGGAAGCTCGAGGGGGAAGGCGGGAGTGCGACATGGCGAAGGGACCGTGGATGAGACGCAAAACCTGTACCACCCAGACGCTCATGGACCCTCCTAAGTAGGGTTCCGGACCCTAGGGTTTTGAGGGACCAGTCGAGCTGTGAACGGAGCGTCTGGGCAGAACAGTCATCCCTTCACTAAGACGACGCCGGCCGCCGTCAGCCGTCCGTCCCTGCAGGGATGGTGGAAGACTGTTTGCCAAGTGTACAATGATGAGCCTGTGGGCCCAGAGCGTCGCTCCCACCGGTGCTGCGTTTGTGTCACAATTGACCATTTTCCCAAGCAATCACTCGGTGGCACTGCGCTTTCAGTCGGGCTCTTCTTGCGGATGATGGTCAATGTTCCTTTCCCGAAACGATAAGACTCCTCGGCTCCTCTAGACTGATCTTTGGCCATGAATCCAACAGTTCCAACACGTTTCAACTCCGATCCAACAGTCCTTTCTGGCACCAACTCCGATAGAGACGAAGACAAGTCGATTGGAGCGGAACTCGGGACACGCCACGCCACGCCACGCCCGACTGCTGGGTGTTGTGTTCTGCGTTTTCGGTTGGAGGCCAACGAAGCCCCTAGTAGCTTCTTGTTACTAGTAGCGATGCCAGGAGCCCCTAGTAGCTAGGAGCCCCTAGTGGCGTCCTTGCTCCTAGTAGCGATGCCAGGAGCCCCTAGTA